ATTAGTATTGTTTAAATTATAAGGATGTTTAGATTTTTTTTGTTTTTTTTTTTTGGGGGGAGCTCTTAGCTTTTGAAAATTGCACCTCTACTGAAAAATTCATGGATCCGCCGCTGCTTGCCAAGGAACAATATTTAACCATTCTTCCATATTAGAATAAAAATTAACCCCAAGGGTATGAAAGATAACAAGTATGAATAAATGCATCAAATTTCATGTAATGTAGTGCAAAAGTTGACCAAACATATATTAATACACAACTTGTTCACCATTTTCAATTAATTTAACATTCACATAAAACAACACATGTTTTTAGATGGATCAGCAAGCCAGAGAGAAGAATTGAATACTACCACTCAAGGAGTTGAGTGAGAGAATAATGTTGAAGGGCAAAACGTGTGTGTGAGAGAGAAGAAAAGAGAGGTAACGCTATTTCCTTGTTTCTTGACCTTGTTCTTTCTAGTTGTTTATCAAGCTTTGAATCTAGAGGTTTGATAACCTCTGTTTTGTTGGCCATGGGCGTAGACACATAGCCGAACAACGTTGTTCGTTGTTTTGTATCTTCTTGCTTATTTTCTTGGGTTTTCAGTTCGTTTGTTTTTCCCATTCTTAAATGATTTTACAAATGATCCAGTCACCAATCCAAAGCATCCACCTCTATCTTAGCTTAGCTTGAACAACCTCAATAATTTGTTGATGAAAATTTTGGGATTTTTCCTAACGCTAGGAAATTATAGCACATATATTATTGTCCTATGAAAGTGAAGGATATATATAAGGGAGATTGCTTTGACATTCAAAGGGTTTTATGAGTCTTTGATCTCCAAACTATGACCTAAATTCTACAAGATTAGGCACACACACAAAATCTTGGCAACTCGCGAGTATACGGAATCAGTAAAACAAATTTTGGAGGGACAACGAGAGATTTTACATTTAATGCTCGAAGAAGACAAATAAATCAAAAAACTAAAGTGGAAAGGTTTTTGTTCCTTGACTTACAATTGGAAGCATGGGCCGTGGATCGGGTGCTTAAAATGCATTCTGTTCAACACTTAGTTGATGGGAAAAAAAACTGAAAATTTCTTTATGGTTTAATTATAAATTCAATTTGGCATGCAACTCAATATACTCAATAAGTCACGTATGATAATATGCAGTCTAATGACATATTTATTAAGTTGGAATCGCAGTAAGTACAAATTAGAGTGATTATTGATGATCCATGATTACCATCAATTACCACCTGTTCACTATGGACTCTCACTCTTTAAATGTCATGGGTGTGATTGCTGATTTTATACGAGTCCCACTCTTGTTTTGATTCTCTAAGTGTTAGTGAATACTAGAATGACCTTGATTGGGGATCCCATTCTTTACACTATCATTCCTAATTAGTAAATATGTCATAAGTGCAATAGGAATCTTACGAAAGAATATTCAAAGAGTAAGATGGATTAAGGAAGCAACCTCTTGTATACAATGAGAGCATTTTTGCTCACCATTTTAACTAAAGTGTATTTTCACCACCCTCACCACCCTTCTTAACACTTGACACATGTCCATATGGATAACCATGATTCCATAAATACAAAGTAAAAAGTTAACCATGATTATGTCTATAAACACGTGTGTCAAGTATTGAGAATGCTGGTGCGAATACACTTTGGGTTAAAGTAGTGAGTAAAAATATTTCCGTACACAATCGCTGGCTATGCAGACTTTCCAATTTTATATTTTATATTTATAGTTTCTTCTTTCCATTGAATTTAGGATTTTTGAGTTGAATTATGTATTTTAAGTAGTTTTAGATTTTTTCTATATAATGTTTTACTTCCCTTTTTTTTTTCTTTCTTTCTTTCTTCCAATTTCTCTCGGTTGATAATTTGATTTTCCTAGTCTTTTAGGGTTTCATTGCTCTATAATAAGGGGTTGATGATAAAGTTGAGAGTGTTCTCGAAAGTTCCTATCTTTTTGGGATCCGCATGGACAATGTCAAGTAAGAAATAGTGTATTTGAGGTTTCTATTCTCTTCTCTCAGCAAAAAATTCAAGTGATAAAATTCATATCAAGAACTGTAGTTGGAAATAAATACATCATTCACCACTTAAGAGAAAATACTATTCATAAATAATAAAAAAGAAAGAAAGAATAAAGTAGACAATGTTGATGAATGAATGCAGCATGTAATACTTAGAACGATGGATATATCAATCAATTGACCTCTAAATCATGTCGATTGATGGAATCCAAGCATGGGAGCCTCGTCTGTTTAGTATCCATTGGTTGTTAGCTCATGGAAAGAGTTCCCTTTGTATTAATTAGAAAAAAATGGAATGACAAGAAGGAATCAACAGAATTGTAGATGCCCTTAGTTCTTAACTTGAGAATCAACATGATGGAGGAATGTTGTGTTCCTTGTGAGCCTAAATACATACATATGCTTGTTTTTAACAAGCGATATTGAAAGAAGAAGAAAATTAAACCTAAGACTTCGAATGTAAGAATAAACGCTCTTACTCATTTGACCAACAAAACCTTAGCAGTACATATGTTTGTTTATGTAAGCAAAACAATGCCAACATTAAAAATATGGGACTTAGAAGATGTATGAGTTTTCACATTACATATGAAAAGATGATGCAACTGTATGTCACATAATGGGGCTCACTCTTCCACCTTTTCCCTGGGAGTCAATGACCATTCACAATTATTACCTTGACACAAACTAAGAGTTCGATCCAATATTTTTGTCTTAGCGGATACATTAGAAGTATATTGAAATCCACAGTTAGAAACAAAAAGGGAACAGAGAGGGAATGAAAATTTGGGGTAAAAAGAAGAGGGATTTCCCATTGCATTTGTTTTCATGAGATTTTATATCTATTTGATTTCCTTGGTAAAACAATAAAAATATATAAAGAATAAGGATTGTATACAATTTTTTTTGGTCCAACAATTACATAACCCAAAAATTGTTGTTTGCCGAAACACCAAATATTGCAAACTATATAATGGAGGTTATTGATTTTTGATGCTCCTTGATGAGCTATATGGTTTTTCACACCATTCTTCTCTGGCTTCTCACACCTCAATGCTGTAATTCTTCTCTCCTTTTATCCCAATATCTCCAGAGACATACCCTCCTCCCGCTTTCTCTCTCATTTGGTGCACTAAAACAAGAAGCGAAGGCTATTGGGGAGAGGGGTAGATACATGCTTTGAGGGTTTGGCTTTGCTCTCCTCTTTCTCTCTGTAAAAAACACACCTGAATTTTCTCCGACCCTTGTTCAGCTCTGTCTCCTCTCTCCCTCGCTCACTCTCTCATCAATCAAAAGCTCTATTTGCAGCTTCTAGAAAGCAATTCTATAAAAGGCATATGATTTTGTTGGAAAGCTTGAAGATTTAAGGGTATCCACATAGCCTCAGCTCGCAGGTTTGACAGAAACCATATAATTCCTTCTGTGTAATGCATTTAGGATACCAGATTTCGTTGGGTGTTTGGAATCGGTAGACTTGGATTGTTGTATGTTGTGAACCTTTTAATTCTGTTTACTACATATACAATTACTTTCTTGTCTGAGCATTAGGGTTTTTGGGGCGAACAGTATTGGTTTCTGGGCTTGTCATGTTCTCCCTACTGGTTTTAGAACTTGGGATTTGAGTTTAAAGGTTACATGTCTCTGGGTCTGTGCGTTTTTCTTCTCTGGTCATAAGATTTGGGTATTGTGTAGTTGAATGGTTTTGGACTATTGGTTTCTGGGTCTGTGTATATTGATTCGGATATGAGTCGTAGGGTGCGGCGGAAGGTGGCTAGGAAGGGGAAGGAGAAGGTGGTTTTGCCTTGTTATCCAGAAATTGAGGAAGAAGTTTCAGGTTCAGTGCAAAATTGGATTGTTGATTGGACTAGTTTGCCAGATGATACAGTAATCCAGTTGTTTTCGTGTCTGAACTATCGTGATCGAGCAAGCTTATCATCAACTTGCAAAACATGGAGAGTTCTTGGAAGTTCTCCGTGTTTGTGGACCTCTTTGGATCTTAGGGCACACAAATGCAATGATGCCATGGCAGCTTCACTTGCTGCAAGATGTGTGAATCTTCAGAAGCTTAGGTTTCGGGGAGCAGAATCTGCTGATGCAATATTGCATCTTCAGGCCAGGAATTTACGTGAAATAAGTGGTGATTACTGCAGAAAAATAACTGATGCTACACTTTCTGTGATTGTGGCTCGGCACGAGGCACTTGAAAGCCTCCAGCTTGGGCCAGATTTCTGTGAAAGGATCAGCAGTGATGCTATAAAAGCAATAGCTATTTGCTGTCCTAAATTGAAAAAGCTTCGACTTTCGGGAATTAGGGATGTTCATGCTGATGCTATTATTGCTTTAACTAAGCATTGTCAAAATTTGACTGATATCGGGTTCATAGACTGTCTGAACATTGACGAGATGGCATTGGGAAATGTTTTATCAGTTCGTTTTCTCTCTGTAGCAGGGACGTCAAATATGAAATGGGGTGTGGTTTCACATCTTTGGCATAAGTTGCCTAACTTGACTGGGCTAGATGTTTCAAGAACTGATATTGGTTCGGCTGCTGTTTCACGGTTATTATCATCATCACAGAGCTTGAAGGTTTTATGTGCCTTGAATTGTCCTGTGCTTGAAGAAGACACCAACTTTGCTCGTCGTAAATATAAAAATAAATTGTTACTTGACCCTTTTTCAGAAATTATGAAAGAAATAGCTTTTTTATTAGTCGACATTACAAAGAAA